CAGATGAGTGTGTGTGTGTGTGTGTGTGTGTGTGTGTGTGAGTCAGATCTAAGCCTCTCCTGAAAGAGCACGTTTTGCCCCAGTGTGCTGGGAAAATGAAACCAGGAGGGAGGGTGAGGGTAACGCACCGCTTTACAGGGGACGGGTGTTTCACGCTGGGGTGATGCTGCTCCCATGAGTGGTGCTGGCTGCTGCGAGCCTGCTGATTCATGAGGCAGTGGATGGTGAGAAGAGTGTGTGTGTGTGCTTTTTGTGGGGAGGAAATGGCTGGGTTGTTTTAAGGAGAAGGAGCATTTTCTGTAACTGCAGGATGTGTGGATGGAGCATACAGATAGCATATCTGTAGCACATCAATTAAATGCCCTGGTGTTGCGAGATAAGGATTTACTAGAGGACTAAAATAGGATGTGAAACTGAGGTTTTGTGCCTTGTGCTCAAGTAAAGCGGCTTTTGTTAAAAAAAAAAAAACAAAAAACAACAAAAAAGTAATTGAGAATTGTCCTCTCTCTGCTTCGCTACATTCAAATCAAGTTTGGTTTTTAAAATACGAACAAATGGTGTTGCAGGAGCCAAGTCCCAGCCTATTTTTAACAACAAAGCGAACTCCCGGTTGGTTGGAGGAGGGTTCCTCATTTAACTGCAGATGAAAAGAAATATCAGATAATTTGAAAGAGTACAAAAAGGAAGGTGAGAGACACTGTGTGTTGAAGGTGTGGCACAGAGGTCTTTGAGACCAAGCCAGCTGGTAGGCTGATAAAGCACAAATGCAGCTTAACAGTTTAAAGCCTGACGTATTTTTGCAGCATCTTCTCGAGTTTTTGTGTATTTATGGTGCTGTTTGTCCTCCATCCAGATAATCTGCTGGGAGATAAGAGTGTTTACTCGTGCTGGTGGTTCAGTCAGCAAGCAGAGTATTTGTTCTAGCACTGGAAGTCTGTTTCCAATGTGAAAGTAACGTGTTTACTTTTCTTTGAAAATTTCTAATGCTACTTTGACTTGTCGTGGGAATTTGAAATGGCAGAGGTAGTTTGAAGTAAAATGAAACTTTCACGTAACAGCCACCTGAACAAAAACTCAGCAGGTATAAGCTAGTAAAAATTGCGAATTTTGGTATGTGACAGTTTACCTAGGTCTAAACATCTAAAAAACTATTCTGCTGTGGCTGTGCCAGCGTGGAAAAGGAGGGTGCAGAATGAGAGAGAACTTACTCTCCTTTAACGTGTGTATAATAATGCTTAGTTAAGCTGTTTACTGACAGAAAACCAAGTTTACTGTCACTGTCAGAAAAGCCTCATTTGGTTTATAGGGTGGATTTAATGGACACAAACTGGAACACAGGAGGTTCCACTGAAATTGGAGAAGAAACTTCTTCTCAGTGAGGGTGACAGAGCCCTGGCCCAGGCTGCCCAGAGAGGTTGTGGAGTCTCCTTCTCTGCAGACATTCAAAACCCGCCTGGACGCCTTCCTGTGTAACCTCATCTGGGTGTTCCTGCTCCGGCAGGGGGATTGGACTGGATGAGCTTTGGAGGTCCCTTCCAATCCCTAACGCTCTGGGATTCTGTGTGATTGCTCTCTGAAAGGAGACAGCTGTGTATCTTTATCCTATAACGATGTTTCTTTAGGTAGTAATAAATTTGTCCACTGAATGAAGTTGGTAGTTGTCTGACTTCCAGCCTCTCCTTGTTCCTGCTGCTCTCTGGTGCTTTTCACCTGAGTGCCTGAGTTTTACAAGGCTGACTTGCGGATATTATTACAAAAACCACCTGGAGGTATGGGCAGGTTTTATAAAATTATATAAATGCTGTTAATTAGCAACAAAACATCAAAGTAATCACTTTGAAAGAAGACTTCCTTTTATCTACCTTTAATGAAATTGTATAACTCAGTAATATTAAGGGGGGATGTTGGGGTCTTTCTAGAAATAACGTGGCTTTCACCTTTGCTGTCTTGCTGTGACTGTTTTAGGGCAATTTCTGGAGTGTAGAATTCTGAAAGATTTTAAAAGATGACTTTGTGCTGGGTTTTGAGGTGCAGTAACAGATCTTGTGCTCATAGACAAAGGTAGTAATTTATTAATATTCTGGTAAGTTCGGAAATTGAAAGGGAACCAGCATGGCTTTATCTGAAAAGGAGGAAATATGTGGTTAAACGGTTTTGGCTGCAGTCTTTGGTGGTTTCCATTCTCCAGAAAGAGAAGGGGGAAAAGGAGTCTAAATTCCTTTCTCTAAAATAAAGGAAAAAGCACCAGTATGCTTTATTGCATGTTTTAATGAGAGAAAAGTTCCTGCATAAGCGCATGTGGCTTCCATATGAATTAGACTGCATTTACATGATTATATGGTAAATTCAAAACTCAACTATCTTGCTGAGCATTTCATCCTCTCAGAGGTGGATAGTGTTTATTATCCAGATTTTGAAGAGCTACTGAGCGCAGTGGCGTGAGGCTTTAAGGGCTCTGATTCGGGAGCAGAGAGCTTTATCAGGAAAGGTCAGACTGCGTGGCAGCGGTTCACAGCCTGCCTTGTCAGCAGCTCAGCTGCTGGTCAGCGTGCTGAGGGCCGATAGTAACCAGCAGTAATCACACCAGCTCTGTCGACTTGTTTCTGTGATCCACCTGGACTTGCGAAGGCTTTCACAGAATCTCCAGCACTGCTCAGGCCTCCCAAGTGATCGTCGCATTTGAGGTACGGAGCCCTCCGAGCTGCCACTCTTTGCACCCGCCTATGAAGTTTGCATGTGATGCACTGGCAGCTGCTGAAATGAGGCAGACAGCAGCAGTGTGATATTCCCAGCCAAAGAAACAAATAGAAAACTTTACTCTGGACAAAGCTAGCTTTTGTCATCTGTGGGAAAGTCCTATGTGACTTTTGGTGTCCTGGACTTTTGTTGTGGGCCAGAAGGATAAGGGAGGCTGGGTGAAAGGTAAACCCTAAGTGAATATTAGCAAAATGCTGATTTGCTTCTGCAAGAAGTAACTAGCAGAGTACAGTCTGTTTTGTCTTTGCAGACCTGTAGTTAGGTTATGCTGCTTTTTTTTCTTTCTTTTGAATTATTTTGCATTATTCTAAGAGAAGGACAACTTTTGATCCTGATAGCCTCTTTAACTGTCTTTCACTTCTAAACTAATTACGCACATCTATTGAATTAACGGTGCATACTTCGTTGACTTCTTGTGAGGTGAATGAGTGAGGACTGCTGAAAGGGAGTAATGTTGTATTTCGTGTGTCTGAGATGATTAATCTTGAAATGAGGGCTGTGGGAGGTGGTTTCCTGGTAGTCCATGTCTTACTCACACTGGTTCTGACGCGTCCGCTCGCAGCGGCTGTTGCCCGGTAGATCTGCACCCTGCGTCAGCACAAAGGACATAGGTGTGATGGCTTGCATAGCAGGGACAGAAAACCACTCTGTGCTGCTCTTAGCGGACACCCTGCATTGGAGAGCTGATGCAAAGACGATATGTTTGACTTAACCTCCATTTCTTCATTATTGAGCTGCTGTGTATTGTACTAATTAAGGCTTCTAGACTATGCTTTTTCATACTGAAGTTTGATAAGTTGTAAAAATCAAGCTCGGGGACTAAATACGTGTTTTCTTTGGCAAATAACATTAGGTGTTTGTCAGTTGCTTTCATGTTATTCGTTCCATTTCTTCCACTTGTGGATCACCTTTCAGGTTCAGTGCTTAATTTTACCAGAACAACCTTTACATAACCAAGGCTCGCCTTCCTTCTGCACCTCCAGTATCTCTAAGCCTTTTTTTTTCCTGCTTGAGTGACCTTAGCTGATAAATGTGAAACTGAGCAGGTAGGCACAGTCGGGGTGCTTTGAAATGTGTTGCAGCACTAAATATCAATTATACTTTGAGGATCTGCCAGAGGATGAATTTAGAGCTATTAAAGGAGGCGCTGTATGAAAATTCCCCTGCTTAGCTGGGCCACCCTTGAAGACCAGAAAGTCTTGACAGGATTTTGAATGTCTGGGCAGTGTTTAAATCTGAAGTGGGTGCAAGCCTATGTGCATGGTTTGCCTCTCTGGCAATTCAGCATAGACAAACCTCTGTTCCATGAGGGGTCTGACTTGCCAAGTAAGCTGAAGTAACTACTGAAGATTGATTTTCTTCTCAATTCAAGTAATTCTGGTTTGGGGTTTTTTTGGGTTGTATTTTTTTTAAGGCTGATGCCATTAAATATAGGGTGTCAAACTCACTTAGCATTGCTTTCCTCTCTTTTTAAATTTGCTGCGTGGGGATTAGTCTCTGGCCTGTAGAAGCACAAATACTTTAAATCACTGTATCATCTACTGCTGCCTAGATGCAGGACTCATGCATTATTCCTTGCTGCAGCTCAGGGCACTGTGCATGTCGATGCAGTGGATGGGTTATGATCATCTGGTGTTGCCTTTTTGAAAAGCCTTTCACAAATGCTACTGCACACACAGGAAGACTTTATTTTTAGCACGGTGTGTGTATGTAGTGTATTTAACTAAACTCTGACTAGTTCTTAAATTTGAGGAGGATTGAGACTGGTGCTCACTCTTTGTTGAAAGAGCAGAGGTACTGGGGTAAAATACAGTGCTGCTGGGGAGTAGGAAAGCATGTATTCATTTAACAATTTAAATGTGCTGCAGAGGATCGTCCCCGTCTGGCAGCGTGCCCCTTTCTGAGGCACAAAGGTAAGCTGACAAGGAAAACCAGTGACTTTAACTGAAAGCAGTAACAGAACTCTAACCAAATCCTGGTGCACGGCAGTGTATGAAATGAGAACACAGCTTAAATTTATTCCATCCACTACAGTAGGCAAATGTTACAGCACTCGCTTGATTAAAATGAGTTCTTGGAAAGGAGGCAGGAGAAGCTGTTAAGTGGGAGTCTCATGTTACCCACTGGTTTGGATGCTCTTGTAAGAATACATATAGAAGCTTCCTGCATCAGTATTTTCATTGTGCAGATGTGTGTAAATGCTTTCAAATTCCTAGCGCGTGTTTTGCTTTTATTTTAGGTGTACTTGAAAGCACCTATGATTCTCAACGGTGTCTGTGTAATCTGGAAAGGCTGGATAGATCTACAGAGACTGGATGGTATGGGCTGCCTGGAATTTGATGAAGAGAGAGCACAGGTAAGACAGTCTAGACTTTATGGTGAACTCAGCTGTCCATATTTGTAGCTTGATAATTTAGAGTGGTCCAAAGTGCTTCTGAATACAGGAGTTTGTTACACATGCAGAGAAAAAAAGGGTGAGTTGTTTCCTGTAGCCTTTTACTTTCTCCTCCCAAGTTCTGTGTTGGTACTCCAGGAAATGCTTATTTATAATTTACCCTCTACCTGTCTGTAGCTACTTTCTCAGCAGTCTTTTCTTTGGAAGAAGAGTAACTGCTGTAGACTCCATTGATCAGAAGGCCTTTAGACTATAATGGCTTGCACAGCAAGGTCAAATGTAGACCCCTGAGGACCGTGCAAGATAAATCCCAAGATTTTTGATCTATGACAATTAAGTTTGGTACAGAACACTGTACACATGACTTCTGAACTGAGAGGAGACCGATTTGAATGTGTGCTCAAAGGAGGTAGCATTACTCTTCTCCAAAATTGAACAGTTCCTGAAAATAGTGGGCACCCTTTCGAAAAGGGGAGTGGCCAGGTGACCTGTGGGTTTAATTTTTCTTTTTAATTTCCTGGTAAATGTTTTTGCTTGCTCTTGGATTATTTTAGCTTCCCAATGCGTATAACACTGTCTTAGCTACGCTTAAGAATTCCTTTTTGTAAGGCACTGTACAGACACAGAAGTAGCTGCACCTTTGCTGTTGCACAGTGGGTCTTACGTCTGTACGTGTTAGTATTGTAAACATTTGGGCAATCTCTTACATTCTTGAGTTTCCTTTTTCCTGTATCTGACATTTTGCTTCCTTTTTTAAAACGGTTGTAGTATTGCTAGTGGCAGTTGACCTAACTGCTGACTTTGATCCAAACTAACATTGATGTCAGGACGGGTTTCAGTGCCCCATGCTGTGCAGCATAGTGCCTGTGGTACCCACTGTCTTTTTTAAGAAGATTTGGCATTCGTGCAGCCCCCGTGCACACACCTTACTCCCATCTTCTGGAAGGCTTGACTTACACAAATGCAATGGTCTTGGACCGCTCCTTACTAATACTGGGACCAGGTAAAATTTTCCATTGCTGCCACACTTTGGAAATGCTGCTGTCCTTCACCAGGCCGAAAATACTTTTTGGAAGAAAAACCATGTGCATAATAAAGTACTTCAGTTGTAACTTTTCAGCTGGTGTTCCTTCCATGTAACTCGCAGCATATTAATGTCTTGCTACTAGCAGTCTTATTTTTGTTCCTGGAGCCCCTGATTCATCTCCCTCTTCAGTCTTTAGTGGACTAACACACGCAAAGCTTGAAATACATGCTTGAATATCTTCCCCGCTTGGGGCTGAAAATTCCCTGCATTTGATAATTGTCTTGAGTGTCATTAAAAGACTGCTTCTGTCTTCAGTACTTTTGTGTCTCTTCTGTAACAGCGCATTCTTGCTGCGTAGCTTTGGTAGTTATTAATGGTTGAGGGTTATTCTGGGTTTAGGGGTTTATTGTGTTCTGCTCTCATGTTTATACAGCTCACATTTTACTTATCCTTTTATTTCTTAGCAGAGTCACACCAGGAGCATTTTTACTGATTAAAACTAAGATGGATGAATGATTGGGTTGCATAAAATCAAATTTGCAAGACTCTACTTAATAGATTTGGGTGGCACTTGAAAAAAAGCTTCGTTAAGCTCCTGTTGTACCACAGCCTGGGATGTCTGTTAGTTTCTGTTATAACACATCCCCAAGAGTAGAGCGGGTTTGTTTGGTTGTGCTTGGTTTGTTCTTTTTTTTTACTTAAAAATATGTTCTGATACTTTGTATCCCCTTACTCATACAACAGTAAACCAGTGTTTCAGCTGTCAACGTGTGTTCATTCTGGATAGAAACACGCTGATTCCATTCCTATGAATTTCTGACTTGGATTCCTGTGAATAAAATATAAATATAAAAAAAATGTATTAAATATTTTGGCTGAGGCTGTATGTGTGCCTTTTGTTTCAGTAGCGCTTTAAAGGATGGTAAAAATGCAAAAAATCTTTTATTAAAAAAAAACTGCTTTCAATAGTCTTTTTTTTAAAAAAAAAAGAGCGGTAAAGACATATGTGACTTCTGGAAGTTAGAAATAAGGCACTTCTTGTGTAGTCATCTGGGAGACAAGCATATCTATTTGCTCTCTAACTTTCTGCATTATTAAGAGCAAACTTACTTTCACTGTCTGACCTTGGTTGCCACGCATTGCACGAACGTTAAGGCAGCTGTAAAGGACCAAACTCTGCTACTAAAAGTAGTAGGCACTGTTAAAATGTTATCTTACTGGCAGCTTTACACATCGCCTTTCAACGCCGCTTCCTGGGGACGCGGCTGTGCGGAGTTATCGACTGACAGATGTTGGTCTTTAACTGTGTTAGGCCGCGAGGGGCACTCATTCCCCTCACTTCACAGAGCAGCTTCAGGGTGCGCGATTGCGCCGACGGCAAAAAAGGCAATTTAGCGTTCTCTCGGACTAGAGATGCTTTATCTGAAATTAAAAAATTTATGCACTTAATCCCTTGGTGTTTTAAAATTTAGTTGGGTTCTCAGCATGGTTTTGTCCTCTGCAGTCAAGGTTAGGATTTTTTTTTATTATTATTTAAATCTGAGTTGAAAATAACACGTGTGTACGTGGGAATCGTCAGCAGAGTTCGTAGTAATTCTAGTTGAGGAGTTAGGCAGAGGGAGAAGCAATACAGTTCATCACTTACTGTTTAGTGGAGCCTCTTTAGACTTGACTCCTCCATTCTGAACATTTCAAGAGTCTGATGGAGAACAGAGGCATCTGTTTTAATGTGCTGAAAGGTGTCTTTAGAAGAACTGTGGGAGTGGAGCATCTCCCTTATGAGGAACGGCTGAGGGAGCTGGGGCTCTTTAGTTTGCAGAAGAGGAGACTGAGGGGAGACCTCATTCATGGTTATAAATATTTAAAGGGTGAGTGTCACGAGGATGGAGCCAGGCTCTTCTCGGTGACAAACAGTGATAGGACAAGGGGTAATGGGCACAAGCTGGAACACAGGAGGTTCCACTTCAATTTGAGAAGAAACTTCTTCTCAGTGAGGGTGACAGAGCCCTGGCCCAGGCTGCCCAGAGAGGTTGTGGAGTCTCCTTCTCTGCAGACATTCAAAACCCGCCTGGACGCCTTCCTGTGTAACCTCATCTGGGTGTTCCTGCTCCGGCAGGGGGATTGGACTGGATGAGCTTTGGAGGTCCCTTCCAATCCCTAACGGTCCGGGATTCTGTGAACTGATTTGTAACCCAATTAGTAACGGCTTGCATATTAGTAACACTTTATTGAAAACCTTTTTCTAACAGAAAATAGGTTTCTAAGGGTTTTCAAGCATTAATTTATTAAATCTATTCCTGTGCATAAGCCACTGTTGAAAATAAACAACAGGGCTGTCAACCTGCAGGTTTCTTCTGCGTTGTTTGTGAGTCTGTACAAATTAGTGGAGGGATAACTTCTGCTTTGCACTTGCTAGTGCATCGAAATTTAAATAATTTAAATGATACACAGGGGTTACAAATGTACGTGCTGATGCATTTTTGGCAGCTTTTGATAAAATGGAGGATTTATTTGGTTCGTAACTTAGATAGTACTTTTTTTAAATGACAGAGAAGTAAATTTCCGTAATGTATGTAACGATGCCAGTGAATTCTGTCCAGATATATCTGTGAATACTGTCTTCAAAATGACCTTGATAAGGAGAATAAAATGTATTGCCTCTTTCATATAACTTCTGAGGATTCCTAGCTTTTGAAAAACCAGGGGTGTTTTAAACTACTGAGAAGCAGTTCTTCTTTGCAGATGTATTTTAGTAGTGCCCCTATTGCAGCTTTGGTTTTCTCTGCTTCAATGATGAAGGTGAGTATTGTTTCATTAACCTATAATTGGTGTTTGCTGGAAGTCATCTGTGTTCTGGCACATTCTATAGGACGTACTTGTCTGTCTTTTCCTCCAAGTGATCCCTAATATTCAAAAGAAACGTGGTCTGGTAGAACCGAGGGTAGCCTTTTGTGTCACTCTGTGTCTGGTTTGTAGCAGGAGGATGCATTGGCACAACAAGCCTTTGAAGAAGCTCGGCGAAGAACTCGCGAATTCGAGGATAGAGACAGGTCCCACCGGGAGGAAATGGAGGTGAGGGTTTCACAGCTGCTGTCAGTAACTGGTTAGTACTTTCCCAAAACTTTAGATTGTTTGTATTTATTTGTCTGTCTGTACAATGTTGTGTGTTTGCTGTTCGATGTTGTCATATAAATACTGCGAGATGTATTGTTTTCAACTCTCATTAAATGAATTTTAAGGTTTTGATGTTTTGATAAGCGTTCTCTGATTTTTATCCCTTTTTCCTTTCTGTAGATGGCCTTTTCTGTAGGTACTTAAGCTATAAGGACACATTTGTTCACAGAGCTGCCACCTCAGAGGATACTTTAACAGCAGAGAAAGGGATCTTTTGGCACACAGATTTCTCATGAACGCAGGAAAGGCTTTGGGAGCTGTGGACACACAATTTTGTAGCTCACCACTCTGTGTTGTGAGAAATGTTACCAGTGAATTTAATCAGGTGCCATTTTTTTTCACCACCTCCTTTCTGTTGAGTCTTACTCCTCCATCTCACTGATGTAGTTCCCCCCCTGTCTTGTTCTTTGCTTCTTGAGGGCCTCAGTCTTAAATCTTTTCCTTTCTTGATGAGAGCAGAAATTACTGGGATCAAGAAAAGAGGAGCCAGAAAAGGGAATGGAAACCAGCTGCTCTGAGATGTCAAAGGCAGGAGCTGTAAGAGGACAAGTAATACATAAGGAGAGTTGGAGAGGTAAGGCAGGCTGTAGGTCAGGGAGGGAATAGGGAGAAAACAGAAACGCTTTGAATGTCTTTCCCTTCCTAACTCTGTTTCCTACCTTCTGCTTCATTAGTACAGCCTGACTTGACTATAATCAAGTGTGATCAATCCAGTGCTTCTCAGGTTTTTAGAAAATTTGATCACTGTTATTGGCAAGCTCCTTTTCTTCCAGCATCCTTACTGATAATTGAGATGACTAAACAGACTTCCTTCCCTTCCAAGTACAATTGGAAGACGCCAAGCATGAGAATGAGAGGGAAGAGGCAGATATGGAGAGGAATATCTCTCACTTTGAAGGGATGGCTGGTGTGTGTCTCCTCGCAAACACCGATGCAGCCAGGTTAGATGTCAGCTGTAGCAGGGAAAATCCTTGTCCTGGAGGATCCACTGCCACTGGATCCCTGGAACAGCAGCTGGGTTACCCGAGTCTCTTTGTCTTGGTCACAGCGTAGCTGAAACCTGCTTGTTAGCTCAATTCCAAAGGAAGGTAGAATTAACTGAGAGCTGCTCATGAAGATCAGTGGCAGCCTGCCTTGATTTTAACACCACAGCAGGAACTTTAAGCCTGGCCTTATGTCCTTGACCTCAATTTATTTCAAGCTTTTCTTGATTTATTTTCCTTTACTGTGCCCTTCTTTTCCCTTCCTGTTACTTCAAAGCAGCCATGTGTTTACAGAATGCTGAAGGTTAAAAAAAAAAAAAAAAAGGCTTTGTGAAATAACTTCTGGAGCTTTGTGAGACTTATTCTTTTCTCCAAGTGTAGAAAACACTTATTTGCAGCTATGATGCGCAAAATGTCTTTCAATTAACAGTGAAATTGAGGTAATGTTGAGCATCTGGGGCTTCATGACAGGCATCAAAACTTGTGACACAGACACAAAAAACAACACCCCTGGCCAGCTGCAGGAGCTGGATTCAATAACTTCTGAGAAGGCTCTTGCTTTTAATGAGACAGCAGACAGTTGTTATTAAATGATGTCCTTATTAGCTGCCAGTACCCACTTAAAACAACAATAGTCCATTGTCTCAGCTCTGAAACACTGGCATAGATCACCTACAGAAAGGAAGAAGTGGAAAAAATAGTGGCTCAAAATATGTTTAAGCAGAATGAGAAACATTGTCAAAGGTTCTTCAAGTTTATGTGATGTCAAATGCACGTTTTAATAATTGCAATACATAATAGAATAATTTTGTTATGCACACTTTATTTTTTTGTGTTACTGTACGTGTTTAATATGTATAGCCAAGAGATTTTTGCCTCGGTTACTTGCTATAATTGGGGTTTATTTCAGGTTTCATTTCTGTTTGGGGGGAGATGTCCTGGCCACGTATCTGACATGTTTACAAATGAGCTTTTGCGCTCTGCATCTTAGGACAGCATAAAAATCGGGATCTTTTGGGACAGAGGAGAGGGTGGAGATGGACTTACAGAGCATTCCTAAGGAGGAATCAGTTTTCCAAACCATTTATTGTTTCCCTGTCTTGCACTTCAGTTGTATTCTAATGCAGCATTCGGGCAGAACCAAATGAGCTTTAATCTGTAAGCACTTAGATAAGGTGCTCATCATCATCATACGGGATTCTCAATAGAAAGTATTGCATAAATGTGCGTTCCCGTGTTAGTTGTATTTGTTTGTGGATTTCAGCTTGGGAATACGGTTTGTCAGTTGTATCCTCCTGAGGATTGCATTGCTGACAGCTATAAAAACATCAGTGCAGAGCATATTGGGTACTGTTCGTGTCACTTCAGTGGATCAAAGAGTGTCTTTGCACTACATCCATGATACTTGAAGGTTTTCATAGGGTGGCTAGAAAAGGTGGGTTCTAAGTGTGCAGAGTGAATATTTACTTATGTTACTACACACGCAGATAAAGATCTCCTCAGCATGATCTTGTTAATGTATCTAAACACCTTTCATCATTACTAGAACTTAAAATTTCTCTTTCCTGTCTTGAGTTTGGCGCTGACAGTTAAAAATTGGAGTTGCCAGACCTGGAACAGGATCTCATCAGTGTTAATGATTGTTTTAGGAATTGCACCACTGTATAAAATCAGGATATTTCAGTCAGTGGAATTACAGCTGAAATGCCTTTAATGGAGACCAGATTCTGCTTCAGTGGGGGAGGGAAGGGGAATCCTGTAATATCCACCCACTCCTACCCAAAACAGAGGCGCCAGCTCTTTGGAAACATTTATCCATGCAAAGCCTGGCAGCATATGAAAACGATCAGATTCACTTCTTTATTTATACAGCTTTCTGTGTAGAAAAGATTCCCTATTCTCAGTGTCTCTGTAGGCTTCTAAAACGAAGCGGTATAGCCTTGCCCAGGAGTGATCAGGGAAGGTTGTTGAAAACAGTTTAAATGGCTTTTGTGTGGCTGCTGGTGATAAATTGAAGGGAGGGGAATAGCAAGTGCAGTAACAATTTAGGGATAATCAGTACACTCATTTTCAAGTACCCTAAAAAAAAAATCAACCAACCGTTCAAAATAACTCCAAACCAAAAAATCACCAACAAACTAACCCCTCAGAGTGCTGCCAGGTTTGTTTACCTTCCGTTCACCATCTCATAGCTCTTCCGTGGATTACTTCCTTAGCACAACAGATCTTTCTTTTAATGAACATATTCTTTGCATCTGCGGGCAGAAGCAGTAGTGGTTGGTAGGTTGTGCTTGAATTTTCAGATATGATCATTTTCTTCTGCAATTACAACATTCCTCTAATGTAAATAGGGTGTGAGTGGGTTTAGGAATTTTCCTTGACACTTTGAAGTGCTTCAGAGTACACTCTGGTGTACTTTTAACATCGTTGGAGTTTTGAATGCAAGACACTGGGGTGTCTTTCTGTCAGTTTATGTCACTTGGTCACATCAGATACACAAATCCTGCCTCACTGTTCAGGATTCTTTTGTTTCAAAGATGCTTTTGAAGTCAGTGAGTGTTTTTAATTAGTTTCTTCGTAATCAGTGATATATTCCAATGGCTTTCACTTGTACAGAGAAGTTGGAGCTCCAAGACAGTGCATGTTTAATGATGCACATGAAGAATGTTATCCCCAGTTAAAGACTGTTGTAAAAATAAGCTTCTGAAGTTTAAGAGCACTGAGCTACTTGGCAAACTTGCACTTCTAAATGGCTTTGTACCAGTTGAAGGCAAAGCTCTTTCCGTGAGCCAGTACCACACCATGGCGATTTTGCTCCAAGGCCATTGCTTCAGGGGTGCATTCTGGAACTGGTGCCAGGTACACGAACTTGCAGTATTTGAGCATTTCCCTTTGCCAAACTGATAGAGTGAGGAGACTGAAGGGGTATCAGTGAGGCAGATGCTTAATTTTCCCTGTCTCTTTATCCCCTCGTGTCTTGGCTGGAGAGTCAGTACCAGCGTTTTCTTCTGCTTGGTGTGGTTTCGGTATGAACAGAGGTTGGCCCTCGTGTCTTGGCTGGAGAGTCAGTACCAGCATTTTCTTCTGCTTGGTGTGGTTTCAGTATGAACAGAGTTCGGTGTCAGGGTAAGAAGTGTTCTGCAGAAATCCCTGTCAGGTTGCTGTCTAGATATGCTTGAATCCTCCAGCTAAAGGCTTTTGCTCTTTATTCACTGTTCTGGCCTCAGTAGCATGATGCAAAATGCATTACGCTGTCCAGAATCGCTTTGAGAGAGAACTGTAACTCCAAAACTGATCTGTTCGGGTGAGCAATCTGCTTGTCCTACTCTGTTACTCCTGGACCTAGCTATGAGTGCTCTCCTGACTGCTTTACCTAGGGCTGGGTTGGCTCTCCTCTCAGTTTTCCAACGCAGTTTGTTCCACCAGCACTTTCGAAATGTTGTATTTTTCTGTTTTGTGTTCATTTCCCCTGTTACTGCCGTGTTCTTTCTTTTAGCAGCACCGTCAGTAAAGAGGCAGAGTGGTTTGCTCTTCCCTGAAACAGTCTGGTCTAGCAATCTGTCTGTTTGTGGTCTTGTGCTAAATATAAATTACATTAATGGCTAAGCAGAGCCATTTTAGGTAACTGCATGAAATTCACAGTTTCAAAACCTTCATTTTGCTGAAAGAAAGAAACCAAAAACGCCCAAAAAACTTTTGTGACTTTTGTTTCTTCCACTGGAGATTCCTCTCGATACAGAGCACTGAAAACCCCCACCAATCCCACCCGTTGAAACTTGCAGGAGTAAAAATTTATCTGCCCTGGGTTACTGTGCATTTTGTCTGGGAGTCAAGCTGAAATGAGAGAGGTGGAATTCATTTAATTGTGCTGAAGTTGTGAAGTCTTAAACCAGGAATTTGCTACAGAAATGTAAA